CCCCCCCCCCCCCCTCCAAAAATAAATAAATAAATAAAACTTAGAGAAAACTACTATATGTATGTCCTATACAGAAAATGGATCACTTCACTATAGTCATCCTAAACGTCTAGATAATTGAACCAAATCTCTAAAACCACACTCTCAGGTTGTTCCAAACATCAAGTAACGCAACTTACACAAGTGCCAACCAGCCCAAACTCCCCAAAGCAACACATCCACATGCTTGCTTTGCTACATATCATTTCCTCAATGTTGGATTGGCATAGTGGACAATGCCTGGTGGCTCCCACAGACAGAACAAATAGAGTTTAAACAAGGTTGTCAAACTCAAGTCATTAAAAAATATATAGGGGGAATATTTTTAGCATCATTTTAAATTAATCTCTACAGTATTACAAATTAGTCTTTCAGGTAAGTCACAGTTTAGGCTCTAAAAATTGTTAGAGGACCAAAGGACATGTTAATGTTTTTCAGAGTCTAATTTGCTTTTGCCAAAAAAGTTGAAGAAATAATTTTGTAGTTTATTCATTGTCATTTCAATTCCAATAGCAATTTATTATTCCTCTCCCACAAATTAAAACTATGCAACTCGATTTTTAATTATAGTATCAGATTCATACAATATTGAGATTAAAGTTGAAATAAAAATACCAATTTCTCATAATGAGCTGTTGTGGATATAGAGCCACCACAATAGGCTGAAGCCCCCTTATCAACAGCTCGATTTGCCTTGGCAGTAGAACTTTTATTTTTGAAACTCTTAGAACCCCAATGTTGGTCCAAAGCTGCTCAAACACTAGCTTGAATCCATGTCCCCTTATCTTGACCATTCCTCACCTTGTTCATGGCATTTTTTAAATGCGTGAACCTTTTGTTTCAAAAACAGACCTGATGACTTGCTTTTGTTGTGGATCTCACCTAAACTCTTTCTGTAAAAAAAAGTGAGTTATTCAACAAACATAATTCAACAAATAACATATTTTAAATGAAAATCCAACTCAATATACCTTAAACTCTCCAAACCACCTGTCTCGAAGGTCAAGTGTTACTTTCTTCCAAGAAGGACTTGGTTGATCAAATTTTTGCCTAATGATTCTTGAAATGACAACAGAGGGTCCATTGGCTGGTGCAAACCTATGTAAAAAGATATTGTCAAAGTTTAGGATATATAATATTATAGCAAAAGGAAGTATAAAATCAAAATTTACTTACTCTCTTTTTTCTGCATAAAGCCAAGGCCTCTGCTCATCTGGATGTCCAAACTCTGAAGGTGGTGGATACTCAGGTGTAAGTGAACCTTCTAGTGTCGATGGTGTGTCTTCTCTAAAAAAAGTACCAGGAACTGATTCTCCTACAATTGTGGGATTATGTTCTTCTTGAAGGGCATGTTGTGAAGTCTGTCCAATAGGATTTGTTGACTCTGAGGTTGAGATGTGAATATTAGTTGGAGTGTTTGTGGTGGATGGAGCTCTCCCTCGAATATGACCTCTACCACCACGATTAGGTGGCCTACGACCACCACCTCTACCTCTATATATCATCAAAGAATAAACAAAAACATAAGGAAGAAATGAAAGTTTAGTGAACAAGTAACCCAACTCTAATAATAAACTCAAACCTAATCATGTTTTCTACACCAAAACGTGTCAGTTATCTTCCCTCTCATATTCACTACAAATAATTATTACAAACCATAATCATGCAAATATTTAAAAAGAATAATAAAAATAATCTATGCCAATTATTTTAATGCATGAATTACCTAAGAGGAATGTATATCATCAAAATCACTTTCAGTTTCACTATCACTTGACTTGTATTCATCCTCATCTGTTACATCTAAATTTGTTTCATTCAATAATTGTTTGTCTATTTCTTCTCCGTCTCCACTAACATCCACAAGAGAATCGTTAATGACATTTGGGTCAACATGTTGTATTTGAAGTCCTAGAAGCTCGTCATCTTGGTATGGATCATCTTGTTCATTTTGACTTGTTATATTATCAATGATTCTACTACGTGCTTTTGTCTTAATTACTGCCAACCAACCTCGATGTCCCTCAGGATATGTTGTGTAATAAACCTGTTCTGCTTGTTGCGCAAATATAAATGGGTCATATGCTTTTTTATATTTTCGTGATTCCTTCACTTCAACAATCCCATACTTATTATCTACTTTTGTCCCTATACCAAGAGTATTATCAAACCAATCACACTTGAATAAAACTAACTTCATTAATGGGAAGCCAGTGTAGTCCAATTGAATAATATCAGACAATATTCCATAAAAATCAGATTCTAATTGACCATTGGTTCCTCGTACGTAAACACCATGATTAGAGGACTTCATGCCTTGACTCCAACAAATAGTGTTAAATTTGTATCCATTGATGATGTAGGTATGCCATGATTCAACTTTTCTTTTAGGACCCCAAGCCAGATTAACCAAAAGTGGATCTTGAATATTATTTTCTGAATTTAGAACCTACAGAATTTAACAATGAACGTTGTAAATCATATTATTTTGGAAAAAGTATTTGGATAACTTATAAAATGTTAACCTACATATTTTTTAAACCATGTAGGAAAACTTGTTGAAATGTCTTTGTCAATTTGAGCATCCGAAGCAGTAGGATCAAGCTCCCTTAAAAATTCAGTATAAATACTGGAAAAAAAAAATATTATTCAAACTACACATCATAAGGTGATTAAGATGTATAGTTAAAGTTGTATATTAGGATCAAACATTAATATCTTACTCTAAATATGGCTGAACCTCTTCACAATTTTGAAGAACATACAAGTGGGCAGCTTCAAGGTCACGTTGGTCTAAAAAGTATGTATTTGATTTGCCAGTCGCTCTTCCTGGGTAATTAAAAATTGATATAGGAGGACTAGATGAAGAACCTTCACTAGCTTCAACATTTCGCGGCATCCTTGTCCTTCCATAAAAATCAGATTCTAATTGACCATTGGTTCCTCGTACGTAAACACCATGATTAGAGGACTTCATGCCTTGACTCCAACAAATAGTGTTAAATTTGTATCCATTGATGATGTAGGTATGCCATGATTCAACAGGACTTCTAGTTAGAAAGAGGGAGAAAAATAAAGAGAACACGACAAAGAGTTGAAGTAATCAAATGCCAAAATGAATAAGCAACTGGAGTGTATGTTGGTGGAAAAGGAACATATGTATCAAATGGATGTGGTAAATATATGTCAAATGAAGATGAAATGTAAGTAGCAGAACTAGGACTTTCAACACTAGAATCACCTAAAGTATATACATACTGACTAAAACGCTCAAATGGTGTCATTGGATAAGCGTAATAAGTACCTACAGGGGGTCATGTGATGGCACAAATACTTCTACAAACTCGTGTTCTACACGCCTACATCGATGTCCAAGGCCATGACCCTCTCATCAACCCACCCCAATATTTTCCATAACAACTAGTTCAGGCTCATCTTGTCATGGTGTTGGAGCATCTGTAAAGGGATATTGAAGTTGGTGGAATTCACCGTATACCTCTAAGCAGTTAACAACATTATTAGTCAATTCTTCCATAAAAAAATTGCTTATAGGTTATGTTTTAGCCTTATGATACATTTCCTCAATAGTGTCCTCCTGTAAATAAATTTTTTTGTTAATTTTACATGTTCAACTTAATATAAAACACAAATATAAACTACCAAAACAATTAATTATAAAACATTTATTGTCATATATGACTTACCACATAACCTTATTTTATAGTAATGTGCCCAATCCAATATCAGGTGTGTCTTTTATACCACACCATGTACTCTGAGTTACTACTTAAACATGTAGTAGTACAAGAGTCTTATGTCCAAACATGATCTAATCTTGTTTCCCACTCGTGTACAAAGACAATGGGCTGAACACACCAATCAATATCATCTTTGCCACGTAAAGTTAGATCAAGCAAATTATTTGGTTAACATGGAGGATGAGGAATGTGATGTACCATGCCGAACTGACGCATCACATAATTTGGATGATGATACTCAATTATATGAAAGTCTATCAATGGCACTACTGCTCTCCAAATATTTGTGTTTTCTACACAATATGGTGGTAGAGAATGAAAATATTGAAGGTATGGCTGCCAAACAAAGTGCACACAAAAAACACAAAAAAAAAACCCATAAATGAATACTAATTTCAAGATATCCACTTTAAAATTGTAAACAATAAAAACTCTCAACGTACATCTTTATCCTTCATCTTATCTAAAACATTGTGAATATGAACAATAGTTTTTTTTTGTGTTCTTCTCTTGGTGCATGCAAGGCACTATTCCACTTGAAAATATGAAAAATAACAAATTAATTAAAAAATACTTATTTAATGTTAAATCTTATATTTAATAAGGCAATTTAATTTAAAATATTATCGTGCAATTAAAGGAATGCCAACAATATTTTGTGGTGCTGTGAGGAGTGCAAAATACGACATCCAATACCATACCCACAACTATAGTAGAACAGTTGCCCCACTAATTTCCTTATGGTCATAATTAGTGGCCACACACAATTCTCTATATAAATTAGCAAGTATGGTTGATCCCCAACTTAGTTTTCCACATTGGTCTAAATCTATTAGCATGACCAAATATCGTATCGGTACTAATGTTGAAGACTTCTTAGAGAAAAACATACTCCCAAGCAACCAAAAAATATAAGCTCATGCATATCGTTCCATTTGTTGCACGTTGTGCACATGCATGGAAACATCAAAAAGGTATTGATCAACCCAACTCATCTTCAGCCTTCCACCTTTAATTGCATTTGGTGGTGGTGTAATTCCCAAAAAATCTTCAACAAATGGAACCCATCTATATGTTGAACAACCAGTAATTAGGTCTCCATGTACCTTAAGCCCAAGAAAAATTGAAACATCTTCTAACGTAATTGTACACTCTCCAAATGTCATGTGAAAAGTGTGAGATTCGGGTCTTCACTGCTCAACTAATGTTGAAATTAAGTGGTGGTCAATAGGAAAGTATGACATCTCTGCCACTCCCAACATCCCTGCTCGTGCAAGAAGGTCTAACTTCGACAGGAATTGGCTCATTTCAATGGCCACTTTTGGTAGCTCTTCTAATATAAAGAACTCTATCAGGATGACAATTCCATATGTGCTCAAAGACGTGAACTATTCCGTACTCAGCAATGAACCATCAATGGGTCTTGGATTAACTCTTTGACGAGGCATTATAAAATTATAACTATTAACCATACAATACCCATAATTAGTAAATCAAAATTAAAAATTAAAAAGACAACTAAATATTAAATTGGTATATATACACACAAACATCAAATATAAGCTCACAATCTATTAATTAATCAACTTCATTATACAAAATTAAGAAATACACGCGTAAAATTGAAATAATAAATATTTAAACACCTAAATAATGAATAATCAATTAAATCCTAAACAAAATAATCTTATACTCCTACATGAAAATCAAATAATTAAACCATAGAAACAAAAACTTTAAAACTTCAATTTAATTTACAAAAAAAAATCTTATAAATTAAATTATATAACACATAAGAAAATTAATTCCAAATCAAAGCTAAAACTAATCACTCTTTTATTCCTTAACATCAACATCAAAAAATTAAAACCATGGAAAATCATAACTATTTACTCTTCTATTTCTAAACACTTAAAAAATATAAACTCCTAAAAATTTGAATCATCAACAACATCAACAAATTTTTTGCATAAAAAAATCTAAACTAAAAATATACATGCAAAAAAATAAATTATTATCATTATTATAAAAAATTACAAAAAAAAGTACCTTTTACACTAATCTCCTTCTCTCCAGAACAAAAAAAAATTGAATCATTAATATCATCAACAATTTTTCCATATAAAAAATCTAAAACCTAAAAGTTTACATCAAAAATCAAAATATTAATGTTAAAATAAAAAAAATCAACTTACCTTCTCCTTCTTCACCACTTTATTCACACAACTCTCCTCTTCTTTACCACTTTCTCCTTTCTTTCTCCTTCTCTTCTCTTCTTTCTTTTTCTTCTTCACTTGTATCCCTATCTTTCTTTTTATTTTTGTTTCTCTTCTTCTTCTATCACTCACTTTTTTTCTCTTATTCTTCAACTCCCTCTGCCCAAATTTAAAGAGGAGGAAGTGGCTCAACATTCATAGGCACTTGAGCATGGGGAAGCAAAGTAGTTGTGCATGCATGGAACACGTCAAAAGGCTTGACGTTTCTGTTTCACAGGCCTAGTATAGAAGATGTCAGATACACTGACATTTTTTGCTCAGCCTAAACATGACCATGCATGGAACGTGTTAGTCAGGCTTACTTTTTCTACCTGCCAAGCCTACACAGATTGGACATGAAATGGATAATGGGACATGACATATAAGGCATCAACCAGGGTGATGTTTTGTGTGGAAAAATTTGCTCCATGTAAGTCGTCAATGGTAATGACATTTTCTGCAATGACGTTTTGTAGATCTCTATGTGTTAAAAATAATTTATATTGGTAAATTATTTTACAAAATTTTTTTTATTTAGGTTAAAAAGTCTACAAACTTCCATTATTAACCCTTTTGGCTAGAATAAATTAAAAAATAATCTTTTTGAAATAAATTATTTGAAAAAAATTACCAAAAAAATTTATTTTGGCCACGTGGACACTCAAAAAATGTCACAAGGTTCGAAGTTTTGCAAGGGTAAAAAAATGAAGAAAACGTCAATACAGGTGACATTTTATGCATGCAGAAATGTATATTGACGTTTTTCTTGCAACCTTGGTGAACAAAAAAATGTCATACATGTTAATGGTTTTGAAGCAACAAAAAACATCACAATTGGTGACATTTTGCGACATGCCCAATTTCCAAGTACCTGATAGGATTTTTGATAATTTTTCCTAACAAGGTCTTGCTTTGAGATAGACCAAGTCTCCCTACCACTATAGCTATCTAAGTTTTGGGAATAATTTCTCTGCCTCTTCATTCATTTCCAGTTTGAATAAATACAAAACAATTGAAAGGAAACCCTATTGGGTTGAGCACGTAGGCCCAACTACAATATTCCACTTTAATACTAATATTTTGTGAAAACAGAAAATTGCTACGTCATATTGTTGGGGCAAAACATCATCTTTTCTTCTTAAAACACATAGTCATTGTGCCATGTGGGCCTTTTTGACACTCTTTTGGCCCGTTTTTCTTCATTCTCTTCAGCCTCTATTTGCTGTTTTGGGCTCCCATCAATACCTGGCCCATTTGAAATGACTTTGCCCACAAAGTCCTCAAAATCACGGGTTGCTGGGGCATGATGAGAAGTGGGGCCGTGGGATAACTGAACGGACGATGCAGATGTAGGTAGGTGGGCAGTGCCACGGATCACAAGGGAGTCCAATGGTGCAGAGTGATGTGTCGGTTGAGTAGGTGGGGAGTTACCACTTGGAGCACACGTGGAGGGAAGTGAGTGCTTGAGTTGGGGCGGTGGAGCAGATGCATCATTAAGATGGGTAGTTGAAACGTGGTGCAGAGTTTCCAGAAAAGAGTTACGAGGGAGAGTATTATTTTCTGCAAGGGTTTCATTATCATGGGAGGGAAAAGGAAGAGGGTCATGCGGTGGGTTATCAAGGTCTTGGGGAAGAGAGGGGGTGGTCAACGGTGGTTTGCCCTTGAACTTACGAAGGAGTGATACATGGAAGATAGGGTGAATGCGAGTTTCCGGTGGAAGCGCGAGCTGATACGCGACAGTGCCGATGCGACACTCCACCTGAAAGGGTCCGTGAAAGCGGCGAGAGAGCTTGTGTTGTTTCTGATTGCGGAGCGAGATTTGACGGTGTGGTTGTAAC